GTCGGCCATCAAAAAACGATCCAAGATGAACAGTCAGTCCCCCTGAAGGAGTCGGGAGATCCGTGGAGGTCTGAGGTTCGGAGTGAGCGAGGGAGCGCGATCTACTGCGGTTATGCTGAAACAAATCACTGAGGGGGGGGTCAGAGAACCTGGGCCCCCTCCCCCCCCCCGAACAAAAATCCTTGAGGGGGCTTCTGAAACCGCCCCCCCCCTCCCCCCCCGAACCCCCTTCCCTGCACAACCCCCCCCCCCCCTTCCCCCCAAAAGAACCAGGAGGTCCGAACCCCTCCCCTCCTCCCCCCCCGGCCCCCCCTGCGGGTTCCGAATCCCCCCCCCCAGCCGCCGCAGCCGACGACGACGCCGACGACGACGACCCGACGACGACAACGACGACGACGACGACGACGACGACGACGACGACGACGACGACACTGACGACGACACATTCTTGCGCCAAGGGGGGGGAGGGCGAACCCACCCCCCTCCCTAGGCCCTCCCGGGGAGTGGTTTTCGAAACCCCCCCCCCCCGTACCCGGGGGGGTTCGAACCCCCCCCCCTACGCGCCGCCGGCAGCCGCCGCCGCCGCCGCCGCCGACGACGACGACGACTACGACGACAACATCGACTGCGGCGGATCCCCCCCTCCTGGTGCAAGGGGGGGCGTTCGATTCCCTCCCCGCCCCACCCCTTCTCGCCTTCAGCAAACGACGACGGACGTCGACGACGACGACGACGAAGACGACGACGACGACGAAGACCACGACGACGACGACGACGTCGACAACGACGACGACACGACGACGACGACGAGGACAACGACGAAACAACGACGACGACGACGGCGACGAAGACGACGACGACCCGACGACGACGATGACGACGCAACGACGACGACGCCCAAAACAACGACGACGACGACGACGACGACGACGACGACGACGACACGACACAACGACGATGACGACGAAAACGACGACGACGCAGACAACGACGACGACGACGACGACGACGACGACGACGACGACACGACACAACGACGATGACGACGAAAACGACGACGACGCAGACGACGACGACGACGACGACGATGACGTCGACGACGTCGCCGACGACGACTGGCGGACCGTATCGGACGGGTCGGGCGGGCCGACCCTATCGGGCGGGTCGGGTCGGGCGGGCGGTACACTAAAGTCTGAAGCGTACAAAACATGACACATTAGAACCCTATCAGGCGGGTCGGGACGGGCGGACCTCTATCGGGCGGGTCGGGTCGGGCGGGCGGGACACTAAAGTCTGATGCGCATACAGCATGACACATGAGAACCCTAACGGGCGGTCGGGATGGGCGGGCCCTATCGGGCGGGTCGTGCGGGCGGACCCTATCGCGCGGGCCGGGTCGGGCGGGCGGGAGACGAAAGTCTGATACGTATACAGCATGACACCTGAGAACCCTAACGGGCGGGTCGGGACGGGCGGACCCTATCGGGCGGGTCGGGCGGGCGGATCCTATCGGGCGGGTCGAATTGGGGGGGGGGCGGGACACTAAAGTCTGATGCGTATACAGTCTGCCTCCTCTCTCCTCCTCCTCCTCCTTCTCCTCCTCTCCACCTCCTCCTCCTCCTCCTCCTCCTCCTCCCAAGCTCCTCCTCCTCCCCTCCTCCTCCTCCCTCCTCCTCCTCCTCCTCCTCCTCCTCCTCATCATCATCATCATCATCATCATCATCATCATCATCATCATCATCATCATCATCATCATCATCATCCTCGACCTCCTCCTCCTCCTCTTCCTCCTTCTCCTCCTCCTCCTTCTCCTTCTCCTTCTCCTTCTCCTTCTCCTTCTCCTCCCCCTCCTCTTAGCGTTCTCTCGCCCACTGCCGTTCCCAACCCTGAACCAAAGCCCTCCTTCTCCCCCGCTCCTCTCCCTCCTCCTTCTTTTCCAACGCGGGTGGACGGGCGCCGGCGCAGATCTGCGACGACGTCGTCGGCGTCGGCGTCCGCGTCGGCGTCGTCGCCGTCGCCGTCGTCGTCGTCGTCGTCGTCGTCGTCGTCGTCGTCGTCGTCGTCGTCCGTCGTCGTCGTCGTCGTGGTCGTGGTCGTCGTCGTCGTCGTTTGCCGGCGGCGGGTAGCGGGGGGGAGGTTCGAAACCCCCCAGGAGGGCCTGGGGAGGGGGGGGGTTCGAACCCCCCCTGGCGCAAGAATGTGTCGTCGTCGATGTCGTCGTCGTCGTCGTCGTCGTCGTCGTCGTCGTCGTCGTCGTCGTCGTCGTCGTTGTCGTTGTCGTCGTCGTCGTCGTCGTCGTCGTCGGCGGCGGCGGCGGCGACGGCGGCGGCGGCGGCGGCGGCCGGCGGCTAGGGGGTAGGGTAGGGGGGAAAGGGGTGTGGGGGGGGTTCGAAACTCCCCGAGGGGGCCTGGGGGGGGGGGGTTCGATGGCCCCACCACGCCTGGCGCAAGAATGTAATGTGTCGTCGTCGACGTCGTCGCCGTCGTCGTCGTCGGCGGCTGCCGGCGGTTGGGGGGTGGTGGTACGAACCCCCCTGGGAGGGCTCGGGGGGGGAAGGGGAGGGGGGGTGCACACCCCCCCTCCCTCCTTTTTCCGGGGGGTGGGAAGGTTTCTGACCCCCGCAACCCCTCGTTTGCGGGGGTGGGGGTGGTGGGGGGGGTTGGAAACCCCTCCCCCCCCTGCTGCCAGTAGCGCCAGAAAGTATTTCGAAGCGCAGCCTGTCAGTTACTTCCGAGGGTATTCCAAGACTCTCGCATGCTTTCCAGAGGTCTTCATGTGTTTGGTTTAGTTTTGTTTCTGGGGGGTCTCTGGAGAACGTAGGAGGGAAAGAGGCGGGAGGAGGAGGGTCGTCGTCGAACGTCGGATGAAGCGTCTCGTCGTTCCCGCGCACAGTGCGACGGAGGGAGGGAGGAGGGAGGAGGGAACAAGGGACGCGGGCAGGCAGGAGCGAGGAGACGGAGGATCGAGAGGGAGGAAGAGGAGGAGGAGGAGGAGGAGGAGGGAGGAGGAGGAGGAGGAGGAGGAGGAGGAGAGAAGGATCGAGGAGGAGGAGGAGGAGGAGGAGGAGGCTCTGAGGAGGAGGAGGAGGAGGAGGAGGAGGAGGGGGCTATGTGGTTGGGCAGGGCATCGGTGGAGCGAGCGTCGGCCCCCTCGAATGCCCGCGGCATGCTCGCCGCTGGCACACCGCGCGCTCCAGTGCGAGCAAGCGCGCGAGCGTCAGGCAGCGCTCCGGGACATCGTGCGCTCTGGCCCCAATCGAATGCCGTTCGAATGGTGCGTGGATATGGGAACAAAAAGCGCCATAAACATAAAAACTCGGAGGTCCGCGCGGATTTCTCGGATCGGCGCTGGGGCCCCCCGGCGCCGCCTCCGGCGCCGCCCCTGGCGCGCTCCGCGCGCCAGGGAGGGGGGTCCAGCGCCGACGGGCCGATCCGAGAAATCCGCGCGGACCTCAGAGTTTTTATGTTTATGCCACTTTTTGTTCCCCTAGTGGAGCCCATGTCGCTGCTGCTGCAAACGGTGCTTGCTCGGCGTTCGGCGCCGGCGTGGCGCGGCGGCTTCCTGACGCCACTGCGGGGTCTCCGTGATGGCAAGCCGAGGCCGCACGGGGCAGGCCCAGCACCGTCGTGCCGTAGGTGGGGTGGTGTCGTCTCGTCTTTGGTCGACGTTCGACGGGACCGAAGCACTCAAACAGGTGTTGCCGGCTGCACTCGCGTCCCGGCCCCGCCCGGGGCAGGCCCGCCCGCAGAAGCTGCAAGGCTCGCGCCGCCGGGGGCCGCCGGCTCCCTGGCCCCAGAGCTGCCCAAGGTCGTGCCGAGCCCCGCCTCGTCGGCCCGGCCCCGCGGGAGGGGCTCGGAGGAGATCTGGCCTGGCCGCAGGCACCCGAGCTGCTCGTCGCCTCCTCTTCCCCGCCCTGGCTCCTCCACAGGCCCCCTCCTCGACGGCTGCCCCTGGGCACCTGCCCCCGGCCTGCTGCCGCCACAGCGGGTGCAGAAGAGGAGGCGGCGCCCTGGCCATGGAACGGCGCGCCTTCAGCAGCGCGCGCCCCCCCCCTCCTGAGAGCCTCAGCTGCCACTCGACCCCTGAGAGACCCCGTGGCGCCCATCAAGCGCGAGGTTGTAGGCGGGGCAGCGCGGCTCGGAGGAGCGGCTGCGCCTGCAGCGCGCCGCGCAGGCTCCTCTGGCGCGCCGCTGCTCTCTGCTCTGGCAGGAAACTCTCGTCGCGCTGGTCCACCTCCTCCTCCTGCTGCTGGGGCTGTTCCGTGGCAGCGCTCTGGAGAGCTGCAGACGCAAGCTCACAGGACTGCCAGGGCGTTCTCGTGGTCGCGCATGTCCGTATCCACCACGTGCGCACTGAGCTCGGTATTCCTAGTGGTCGACTCCGCCGCCAAGCCCTCCAGCACACGCAAGAGGGCTTCAATTTGTTCGGAGCTGGCGTGCGACACGTGCGACGGTTCCCATCTTCGCGAGGTTGTCCGCCAAAGCATTGTCATCGACATCTGCATGCGTGGCGTGCCTCTTCGTTTCGTGGACCTCGAAGACGATGGACTCGGCGCTGACTCAAAACGCCCCCAACCAATGCGGCGGTCGGGGTGCGTCGGCTCCAGCGCCGCTGACTGGGACGCTGGAAATATCATCCCTGCATTACTCTCCTCCTCCTCCTCCTCCTCCTCCTCCTCCTCCTCCTCCACCTCCTCCTCCTCCTCCTCCTCCTCCTCCTCCTCCTCCTCCTCCTCCTCCCCTCTTACTCCCTGATCTCCCGTCCCTCCTCCCCTCTGACTCCCTCCCTCCCTCCCTCCTCCTCCCTCCTCCCCTCTGACTCCCTGATCTCCTCTCCCTCCTCCCCTCCCTGCTCCTTCTCCTCCTCCTCCTCCTTCTCCTCCGCCTCCTCCTCCTCCTCCTCCTCCTCCTCCTCCTCCCCTCTGACTCCCTGATCTCCCCTCCCTCCCACCGTCTCCCAACCATCAGCGTGGCGCGGCGCGGGTCGGGTCGGGAAGCGCCCGAGTCCACGACTCCGCGGCAGCCGCCCTGGCGGCAGATGTCCAGGGTGATGTTCCCGACGTGGAAGCCCAACATCTCAATCTGCCAAAGAATTCTTACGCAGAGCTCGGCCACACGCAAAGAGTGGCAGGCAAGAGCGGTGTTTCCGTGCGCGGCTTGCCGATCGTCGAATGCGATGCGACGGTTGCTGCCTGAATGCCCGGGCTTCCCGCCCCCCTCCCCCCTCGCCCCCCGAAAGACGCGCAACAAGAAACATGATGGCAAAGGGTCAGTATTACGGGTAGCTCGAACGTGCCATGACTCGAATTCTGACAGAGCAGAAGTCGTCAATACGCTACTAGCGCTACGCACGTGGCTACCGAAATTCAGTGAACGAGGACGACGCTCTTTATTGATACCCGTGCTGCGACGCACACAAGTACCAGTTGCTACACCAGTGTCTACATGATCAGGACCGGATAGGAACTGCTGCGGTGACGCAACTCAGTGCCTTAGCATGCAGGTTATATTCCCTCATGGGTCGTTCTTGCTGTATCCTCCCCCTGGCGAAGATGCGGCGTCACGCGTATGCACGTGCAGAGTGATATGCCCATTCAATGCATAAGCCCACGCACGCACGACTATGCATTCTAGCGCATCTGAAGAGCGGAGTATGATAGTGGTTTCATAAACATGTACCTTCAGAATCCACGCGCACTTGCGTCGGATCATACTGTTTGACTGGGCTGGCACTGGGAACAAGAAGTGAACACACTCGTGATGGCAACACCTGGGATTATGACGCCTTCCTCAAACTAATCTGAGACAAATGGTTGTTGAACGATTTAACGCTCGCGCGGCACGATGGCATGGTCTCACTGGGAATAACGCGCGCGTGGCCCGCACTGTTATATGAGGAATACTGTGTAGGGCAATGCTGATAAGGATGAATAATCAATGGTGAGGGGGCGTGTTAAACAGGTACTGCACTCAGCCAATAAGTGGAACAATGTGGGAAACAATGAACATTGGGATTGGCAATGTGAACATGTTGGTACAAACAGTACGAATGCAACATCAACTCATCACGGTTTGATGACTAATCGCGAACGGTGGATGTGCACTTGTCTTACGCCGAACACACCCGCGCCGCACAACACACGACGATGTAGAACATAAGTATCAACTTAGTTCCAAAGCACAAGAGACAGCAAGGCCTGACCCTAAGCGACCAAGAGCGAACGACTGTGTTACAGGCCGGGAACACGGCCAACGCTACAACTGATGCTGACGTGAGAGGCATATGCTGAACGCTAGACCTGAAAGCCTCTGGCTGAGCAACATAGGGCCACCTACGACTGGGGGGGGCCTCACAAGGGCCCACATGCAGCGCATCGCAAGTCAATCAACAATAGTATGTGTAGCGAGACAGCGAGAGCGGCCGTAATCGAGGGTGCGAAGAGAGCACGATGAGGCAGAGCCATGTGACAAAAAATGCTTACATCTGACCCCTCCAATTCCATCCTTAGGCCCGAACTCCGAATCCTCTGGCGAACACACCTCTTGCTTCCCTCATCCCGCCACTCGTCCTTCTCCTCCTACTCGCATCGTACGGTGATTCCTCGTGAAGATGCTCGCACTGACCAGACATACGCGACCGACACTGTATCGTCCATAACATAGGCATGTCATGCCCGGATAATCTGCTGCCCGGGGACGATTCAATCGATATCTGATCCAAGGTTGCACCCCCCCCCCAATGCATATGAGATCGAGACCCCCCTCCCCCAGGCTGGATGGGTACGCCCGTGACGTGAGCCTCGCGAAGCCCTCGCGAATGGGATCGCTTCCCCCCCACCTTGTGGTCGTGGCCCTGTGGCCGTGGCGTGGTGGAGGGTACTGGAGCTTCCCCACCCCCGCTGTGGCTGTGGGATGATTCGTCGTGTCGTCGTCGTCTTCCATCGGCGTCGGCGTCTGCGTCGTTGTCTTCGTCGTCGTCGTCGCCGACGTCGGCGTCGGCGTCGGGTCGGAGTTTGCGCCTGCGTCGTCGTCGTCGTCCCCCCCATCCCATCTGGAGAGAGGGGCTGTAGAACCCTGGGACCCATCCCATTTGGGGGGGGTGCTGTGAACCCTCGACTCGGCGTTTCCTAATCCATCATTCAGAACAGGAATTCGCCGTTCACACCTGCCCCTAATACAACCGAAAACGAAAACGTGGTAATGGCGCGCCAGATCGATGATAAACGCAGTGCGGAGAGTTGCCACCAATGTTCTGTCCGATGCAACAACTTGATGCAGAACCCCCCTCTCAGCCTGCCAATGGCCCTGCTGGGGTAGCACTACTGGACTCCACTGAACCGGTGATGCCAGCTGCTCCTGGTTCATGCCGCCCAGAGCCTTAGGTGCTGCCGGCGTTTGCGTTCAAGTGCGGAATCAGGCGCAGTGACAAAAAGCGACGCCAGACCTCAACAAACCTCTGCTTGCGCCTGTTCCCCATGCAACCAACTTAATGCCCTGACGGGGACTCCACTCACGGGTACTTTGGCCAACGACTCGGCGAACCCAACCCTTCCCGATGCGGGCAATGCTGCAATTCCCGTAGGAGGCCCTAATGTGGTAACGTTCGGCGGGTTTCCAGAGAACCCATGCGTGAGTCCCCATGGCGATGCCGCTGACCAACAGCGTAACCGACCTAGCCGTTTTTCTCATAGCGATCGCAAATTGCAGTCAAATGTAGTACATCTGCATGCTCACTGACGCACGCGCGTGCAAGTAAATCCATATGTGTCTGGGAACGCACGGTGCGGAGTCCGTGCGTGCGCGTTCGTATGCGTGCACGCGTACCCGTGTGCGCAGACACTCCCTCACGCAGAAACGCGCGTGCGCCAGCACGCCCACACGCTGGGCCTCCGGCAAACGGTAGAATTATGTGTCCCTTGGGGACTGCCCAGAGAATGCCCGACTAGATGGGCCCGAGAAGCGCACCACGACGCCGAAGCATCGGCGCGACGCCAGAATCGAGAAATGGAGCTCCAGATAGCACCGCATCGCGGATGCATCGGCGATGTGCGGGGCCTCAGTCCGCCACGCCCACTCCGGCCCGATCGGACGGTCGCCCCCGATAAAGCAACAGGGACCGATACCGCTACACCACGGTCCAGCCCCTGGGCGCAATCTGACCAGGATGTCCATCGCCGAGCGCGTTCCACTACTCGCAAAAAGCCTACTCGCAAACGTCCGAAAAACACATGTCCGCTTTGATGTAATGTATCGCAGATCCTCTGCGGGGGATCCAGGCCATTTGCGAGCAATTACTTTGCAAATGGTGGAACGCGCTCGTCGAGTCCAGGCCAATCCGGTCCTGGCCACGAGGGGATGGTCGGCGCAACGGTATCTATCGCTCCTCTGAGCTCTTTTGCCGGCACCCAGGGCGTGCGGCGCCAGACGAGCAGCGCCATTCCACTTCGCAGGTGCCCTGCGCCGCGCGCGGCCGTTGCCGAGGGCACCAGACTCGTCCTCAGGCGGAACTCGCCGCGATTGCTGGCCACCCCGTCCCGTGCTCCTCCACCTGTTCCTCAGCACCCTCCCTCTGCCTCGTCCTCCTCCTCCTCTGCCTTCTCCTCCTCCTGCCCCTCTTTTGCTGGGGAATTGGTAGTGGCCGTCCGGTGCCCGACTCGAGAACTTCATCTACTACTACTTGCGCAGCGTGGTCGGTTACCACAGTGCGGCCACTGCGATGACCACCACTGCGAGCCAGGCGAGACGCGCCCCAATATCAACCTCTGGGTCGAGGGCGGGAGGGAGGCGAAGACGGCTGCGAAGAGGGGGCAGCGGCCGCTGTCGCAACGAAACACGAAGCTAGGACTAGGCAGGAAAGGGGAGACTGGGAGGAGCAGGAGGCCTTCTGATGCACGCATACCCCTAAAAAACTAATCTTCTGCGCCATGGAAAGGCCACCTGTCGATGAACCCCACCAGCCCTCAGGGCGTAGGTGGTCTAGGTCGGCTTCTCTTCCAACACCCTTCTTTCCCTTCGGTGAGGGGGTTACCATTCCCCCCTACTCCCTCCCCCTGGACCTGGACGGGGGTGGTCGCGGTTAGTTGGAGCGTCCAAGAGCGCCTCGGGGAGCCCAAGACGACCTCCAAGATGGCTCAAGACAGCCTAAGATGCCTCAAGATGACACCGAAGATACTCTAAGAGACCCCAAGAGCGCTCCAAGACGGCTCCAGGTGGCTTCCGAGACCTCCAAGGAGGCCCCCAAGAGGCCCACATCCTTCAAAACCAAAAGGAAAATCACTGATTTCTGCTTTCTCGCCATTTCGCTTCCGATTGCCACCCGAGGCTTCAAGATGGCTCCAAGATGGCCCAAGAGAGCCCCAGGAAAAGGCATAAGAAAGCCCCAAGACGGCCCCAAGAGCGCCCAAGAGCGCTCCAAGAGGGGTCCAGGAGGCGATTCTCGGTGTTCCAGAAGGGGGGAGGCTAATTGGAGCTCCACTTTTTGACTGGTGTCCTCCAAAATGGTTCCAAAAGCGCCCCTAAAGCTCCCAAGAGCGGCCCAGTAAGGCCCCAAGAGGCGACCAGACGGCCCCAGTAGGCGTCCAGAAGCCTCTAAGAAAAACTCCCGAAAGTCTCCCAAGAGGCCTCATGAGGATGCCTGAGGCACCCGAGACGCTCACAGACGGCCCTGGGCTCGCCAAGATGCCCCGTCTCCTCCTCCTCCTCCTCCTCCTCCTCCTCCTCCTCCTCCACCACCACCACCTCCACCTCCTCCTCCTTCTCCTCCTCCTCCTCCTCCTCCTCCTCCTCCTCCTCCTTGTCAACTGTCTCATCCTTCTTCCTCCTCTTCGCCCTCCTGCTCCTTCTCCGCCTCCTTCTCCTTCATGAACGTCGGCCCAGAACTCATCATCACCGTAACTCCAAAGCCAATCGATCAAATCCTCCTTGGTCTGAAATTTGCTAGACTTCTTTGACTGATTTGGCCGTGGTTTTTTTGTGCCATTCCCGAGTTGCCACACGTTGGTGGCATGCAAGCGGTTGCACATTGATCACATGCGAACTTATGTTCAACAAATTAAAATCATCTGCGTTGCTACCGTTCTGTCGCCGTGCGCTCGTGATGCACTTCGCAGCCGCTGCCGCGTACTGGCAGTGCTTCCTGGCCTGTTGTTTGCTCGACGCGTCAACATCCAACGGACGCATAACGGTCAAAAAGAGGACGAGGGCTGGAGGCTGCAACAGGGATGGGTAGCCCAAGGGGGACCATGCCATGTATCCAAACTCCCCGATCACCCAGATCTTCGACGAGGCTCTCCGGCGAACACGTGCCTGGCACATGGCTAACCGGCGCTCTTGCTTCCGCCGAACTAAAGGGGGGGGGAGAATGCCGAGCCCGGCGCGATCTCGCTGCCGTCACCCCCCTCGGCCAACCAGACAGAGAACTTGTTCTCCCTCAGGACGCCCGCTCTGCGCATGGCCTGGAAGAAGCCGAACTTGAAGCGGCTCTTTGCTGTCTTCGGCTGGGCCGTCTCTTACGTCCTCCGTGGTCCGAGCTCTGCCATCAGCCAGATCGCATCTGGTGTCGATCAGCAGTTCATCCTTGCGATTGTGTGAGTTATCCTTGGGAGGGCGAAGGCAGGGACGGGGGGGGGGGGATAGTAGCGAAGGATATCCGAGCAGAAGGGAGCGGACCAGTGCCACGATCCACCACCAGCAGGGGATGCACCGATGAAGGCAACACGGCCTGCCTCGCCACGGGCTCGGCCGCGGCCTCTCGCTGCCTTGGACTGACACTTCTGCAACTGCTCCCCCTCCGACTCGACCAACGGATTTCGACCAAGCGCTGTCGGCCGATTCAAGGGGTGGCGCCGTAACACGAGAGAGCGAGTGCACCCGCCGGCAAATGCTTGCGCCCCCACCCCAAGAGAGAGAGAGAGAGGGAGAGAGAAAGAAGCATGAGTCCTCCGGCGTGAGCGACAAAGGCGGCAGCCCCAGCCCGATGATGCCGTCGAAGGGGAAGACCCCGAAGGGATTGGGCGACAGCTCGGTGGCCACCACCAGGTTCATCTGGGGAAGGAAGCTTCGGTACCCAACCCGACATGGTAGGGGTTATGAGATTTGACGAAAAACACCGAACCGTGTTTGGACTCCGTTCAGGCCCCGCTCCAGCGCGGTACACGGTGCAGTTGCTTGCTCCGGGGACAAGGGACCGAAAAACTATGCACCGTACAATTCCTGGTTCGACGATCGACTGCGCCTCGGGAGCGGCCAGTGAGGTACGATCAACCCGTATAGCAAGGATGCGCGATAAGGATGCAAGGGCCTTGGACGCCCATTTCGGAGCTTTGCGAGCGGGCCGCGGCCAACGAAAGCGGCCAAGGACGTGCCGAGAAGGCAAGGGTGCAAGGGTGCCCTTGGGAAGGTTGCCCATCCTTACCATGCGGGTTGACTGTACGGTGCACACTAGTCCTCCACGGATGCTTCCCCACCCGGCAGGCTGCACACCGCGGCCTCCAAGCGCCCTGGGCGTGCCCGTGCCGCCTGGGGGTCCCGCCTCCACCAATTCGGCGACCGACGGCCGCATGCCGCGGCCGCCGGTGCGGGTGCTCCCTGGGCATCCCGTTTCGCGTTCTCGGGTGGGGATCGCTCGAAGCAAGGATCGCGTTCTTGCTGTTCTCCTCATCAGTGCGCCTTTTGGGCATTGATCAGTTGATTTAAATCAATGGCCAAATGACGTGGTGATTCGCCAACCTGCAGGGTTCGATGTCTCATATTGCTCGGATGTTGTGATTCCGAGTTCTAGACCGTGCTCCTCTCACCCATGGGTGATGAGCACGCTCTCGTGCTCGCGAGGGAGAGCCAGACGTTGGCCACCCGAGCGGTCGCAGCCACGGGGGGCCAGCGTGGAGGCCGCAGGCTGCCCCCGATGGAGCGCGCCGTGCGCGCACGGGCACGGTCAGAGTTAGGCCAGAGGAGCATTCTTCGAGAACGCGAGGCCCTCCGTCGGCACAGACTGAAAAAAACATCCGAGGGTGTCCTTCCCCAGGATGCACAAGAACATCCAGACTTCAAGAAGAACATCAGGGTACCCTCCCAGGACCGATTTCGATCTCATACCTCGGTCCGACTGGAACACAAAGGGACGTCAGGGCAGCCGCCCCCTGCTCAGCTCTCGGGGGGTCCCCAGGTCTGCCACCCAACTCGCGCCTGAAAGCGGGCGCCAGCTGCGATGAGCCGTCTCGCCTGGTGGCCCTCTGTGGTGATCTCTGGGTCGGCACGTCAAGCTTTCGGGCTGGCAAGCCTGCACAAATGGTGGAAGATGCGGCTTCAAGTATGGGCTCGCGAGGCAAGACGTTGACGATGGGTAGGAGTTTACGTGGGAGGCGGAAGAGGTGACGAGGATGGAGGGTGGAGGATCGAGCAGGGAGGGGAGGCGGTGGAGAACGAGGGGATGGATGAGGAAGAAGGGATGGAGGAGGGCGAAGGGATGAGGGTGAAAGAAAGAGGGGTCTGTTAGGCTCTTCTGCCCCGCCCATCGACCCACCTGCCCATCTACCCCCCACCAACCTCCCTCTGCTTTCCTCCCTGCCTGCCTCACTCCATGCATCCCTCCGTGCCCCTCTCGCATCCCCCCCTTCCACCACTCCTCCCTCCTGTCTTTTCCCGCCTCTCTCCTTGTACTCCCCCCCCCTCCCTCCCAATCCCTGTCCGGGTGCCCCGAAGAGAGAGGCCCACCAAGCGGGGGGCTGGCGCATCGCGGCCCGGAGCGCGCGCGCAGCCTGGGAACGCGCTGAAAGCAGAGCAGGGGGCCATGACATCTGGGCCCTGGCCAGGATGTCAACACGCACACACACAAGCACACACACACACACACGTCCTCAGCCCCCCTCTTGAACGGCCCCCGACCTGTCTCTCGCGCCCTCCCCAAGCCCGCCCTTCTCTCGCCTCCGCGCGGGCAGTGCGATGCAGAGAAGGGCTGGATCCCCCTCGACGGGACAGCGAAAGAAGCCAGGTCGACCTCTATGTGGATGCCCGGGCCGAAATTAAGGTCGAACGTCGAGGCACACCCCGAGGTCAGGTCAGCGTCGATTCTCCCCAATCAGAGCTTGCCTCTGTATTAGGGGTCCTAGCGGATTCATATGGTTAGGTGAGGTGGGGCGCCGATTTGGTGGCCGGTGGCCGGGTGCCCAGGTGCCTGGGGGTGCCCGGGGGTGCCCGGGTGCCCGATGGCCGGGCCCGGATGCCCGGGGTTGCCCGGGTGCCCGTGGGTGCCCGGTGCCCCAATGTTTCGGTGGCCAGTGGCCAGGTGGTCGGGTGCCCGGGTGCCCGTGGGTGCCCGGGTGCCCGATAGTCCAGAAGCCATATAGCCCTTCAGTCCTATAGCCTTACAGCCCTATAGCCCTATAGCCCTATAGTCCCATAGCCCTATAGCCAAATAGCCCAATAGCCCTATAGTAGCCCCATAGCCGCAACAAAAATCTGATTGGGTTTTTCTCCAGTATCATGATTTCCCCCCTAAGCTCGCGCCGCCGAAACTTTACTTAAGACTGGCCTTTCCTTTGGGCACCGCCTCTGCGTGAGATCAGCTTAGTGTCCATGTCGATGCCGTGCCCCCGATGTCTCTCCCCTGAAGGCAAGCCTCTTCGCCCACCGGACGCACAAAGAAGGCCCGCGTATAGGTCTCCACCAGGATTTGCATCCAGCGACTTTGCGAAAGCTTCGCCGAGCTCCTTGCATTCGACGCTGCGTCTCTTATGAACGACGCGTATCCCGAAACGCTCGGTCCGTCCCGGGGACAACTATTGTACCGCGGGGCTATGCCGTGCGGGCCTGAAGGGCCACAAACAACGGCACTGGGACGATGAGATGTCGTGATCTGAGGAAGTGGAGAACCGAATGCAGCGATCATGCTGCGACGCTTGAAAACGTCGGCGGGAAATGTACAGTCAACCAGTATAGTAAGGAGGCGCGATAAGGATGCAAGGGCCTTGGACGCCCATTTCGAAGCTTTTCGAGCGGGGCGGGCGCGGCCAGCGAAAGCGGAGAAGGATGGACCGAGGAGGTAAAGATGCAAGGGTACCCTTAGGAAGGTTGCCCATCCTTACTATGCGGGTTGACTGTATTGCATATCCACCTCCACAGCCTCACGCTTGTCAGCCGCGACCACACGGACACGTCGCGGCTTTGCGTGGATATCCCGCGGGGCACTTCTCCACAAGATCGCGTACCTGTGGAATCGCGCCCCGGCATGCAGACTGCGAGTGCATGGATACCTATAGTTTCCGCTGCCAGTGGGGTGGCGACATCCGACCCCCACCTGCCGCCCATCATGTTGCCTGAATCGCTGATCGGCGAGGGCAGGGCTCAGACTTCGCTGCATGTGGGGAAATGTGGGTCGGCCCCTCCTTCGACTACACGCAAGGGTGACCCTGGATAAGGATGACCTTTGGTGCGCGGCTTTTGGCTGGCGCGAGGGGGCCAACAACAAGCGCGCAGGTCGCTGCTATCGCATCGCATTCGACGATCGGGGGGACCCAATCTTGCCGTCGCTCGGACGTGTATTCCCCGTGCACGTGTCGGTGTCGTGCGTGTTTTTTGCTGGATGATCCAGATCCGCCCCGAGACACAATGCACATGCCCGAGCGATGCCAAACCATGGGCCCGCTTGAGCAGGGACCGACCGTCCCGCCATTCCTATAGTCCTACCACGAAATGTTTTTAGAACCCCCAAAATGTTCTATGAACGAAAACAATGTTCTTAGAACATACACCCAATGTGATAAGACAAGACGGACTCCGCCGGACATGTTCTGAGAACATCTCGTGGAGAAGCCACGAAAGGATCTTAGAACATTGCTTGGCAGGGCTATAGGCGAGCCAGGACGCTTCGCCACTGCTTGGCCCGCCACAAAGGCAACTCCTCTCGTTGAAGGCTTAACGGCTTCTGCCGTTCTTCGACTCGCGCTGGAGCGGCCGCGAATTGCCCCAACTTTCCCTTGAGATCTCTGGATTTCTCTGGATGTATCCGGATGCACCTCGATGTGCCTGGATCTACCCTGATTTGCCTCGATCTATCTGCATCTACCTCTGGATCTATCTGGCTCGACTCCCACAAGCCGATTGGCGAAACATCGATACGCCCTTAGGGATCCTCCCCGAGGCCGCGACACCCGGCCGGAACACCGCGCGCGGCGCGGTTGGCGGCCGCCCCCGGCGGGGCTGGTCGCCCGCGCGCACGCCGCGCCGCTGCTGCCGGCGGCCAGCTCCAGCCGGCCCTGGCGGGGGGGCGGGCGCGCCGGCGGCGCAGAGCGCACGCCGCACCCTGGCGGAGCCGCACCCTCCTGCAGTGGCCGACAGGGGGGCGATGCCGCCTCCTTGCCGTCGCTCGGGCGTCCATTCCTCGTGCATGTGTTGACTTTCTGCGTGCTGTTGTCGCCAGATCGTCCAGGATGTTCCTCCATGGTCCTCGCCGAGGAAAAAGCGCACACGTCCGGGCGACGCCAAGCCCTTTGCAGTGGCCGACAGGGGGGCGATGCCGCCTCCTTGCCATCGCTCGGACGTCCATTCCTCAGTGCATGTTTCGACGTTGTGCGTGCTGCTGTCGCCAGATCGTCCAGGCTGCTCCTCCTCCATGGTCCTCGCCGAGGAAAAAACGCACACATCCGGGCGACGCCAAGCCCTTTGCAGTCGCCGACAGGGGGGCGATGCCATATCCTTGCCATCGCGCGGACGTCCATTCCCTTGTGCATTTGTCGGTTTCGTGCGCGCTTTTTTTGTTGGCTCGATGGTCCAGGATGCTCCTCGATGGTTCTCGCTGGGAAAAAGGCACACGTCCGAGCGATGCCGAACATCAGCCGGCGTCGAAATCGGGAAAACCGGATCGCATCGACACGCGCGTCAGGTCGGGCCGATTCGGCACGTACTCGAATTCGAATAGGATCGGCTGCGCCAGAATGCATTTTTTTGTACCAACGCAAGAGGAGCCCTGTGGCAAGAGAGGGAGAAATGATGACGAAAGACGACACGACACCGGCGCGCTGGTGATGGGGGGGGGGAAGGGAGGGGAGGGGGAAAGCCCGTTCGGCTGCGCCAGAATGCACGACATCGCAATGCGAACATAGTGCCGCATCGGGCCGTCGGGATATCGGGATCGAACTGGCCCGGGCAGGCCAACTTCGATGTCGGATCGGGTTGATCTGCTCGGAATTGGCCCTGGAATCTGCCATCGCCCAAAAGACGACACACGAATGGCAACAACCGCGCATTGCAGCGAAGTGGCCGCTCCGGAAAGCCGGACTGCTGAATGCGAATGTGAGGATGTGAGGCGTCAAAACAAACGTGCAAGCCCTCCCGGGTGACAGACAACGGAAACGAGTCAGCGAGGCGTGCGATAAACGTGCTCGTCTCATTCTCGGACTTGCGCCACGTCCCACTGTTGGGTCATGTCGTTCCACGGCTCCCACGGGGCGAGTCAGGGTTTCCAGCGACAACGTGGATCCATCACTGCTGAAGACAACCTTCACAGATCGCCCGGCGACGACCTAACAGATCACTTGAGGGATTTCAGTGAAACCTGCTTCCGAATATTCATGGCTGAAGATGCTCTCGTGAAAGCTTACTGGAGCTTGCGGAGAACATCAGGAAGGAGACATCCTGCGCGACTCGCAAAGCCGACATTTCCGCAAGGGAATCCATCCAGGCAGCCCTCAGGGCGGAGACCGTGGTGAGCGCTTCCTCTTCCAACCACCCTTATTAACCTGAGGGTTAGGTCGTGCGTCCCCCTACAGGCGGATTTTGGGCGAAAAATTGAAACTAAAAAACATGTTCACTAATAGTTAAAACATATCAAACAAATAGTCCCCAGACTATTTTTTGACTCCCCTGTAGAGGGACAGGCCCGACTTAACCTTAGGGACGGGTTCATCACGTGTTTTCATAAACAAGCAGCCCCTCCATTACTCGACCAGCGGCCGACCAAACACCATGCCGACACCCCACCCCGTCACCCCTGCAAACAAAAACCATACAGACTGCTGTTTGCATCAAATTCCGGGCCATGCGCGGGGGCCAGGCGACCAATTTCCATCGTCTTTGGACAGAAACGGGAAACGGCGGGGAGGGGGCAGCACATTGCCTGTGATGTGCATTACGAACAGACCAATCAAGAAACAACACTTAGTGCTCTTTGCGGCAACATGCTCGACCATGCGTGGGCGCCCAGCCATCACTTCTATTCCATGTGACAGCGTTGCTGGCGGGGCGCGCATACAGTCCAGTACGTGCGGGCCAAGCATCCCTGTCAAAAACCAACGCGAAGTCACTGCGGGTGCACACGCCGTACACCATGCTGGCCAACCCTCCGTCATTTCACATTTCTTTTGACAAGAATGGTGTGGGGGGGATCGACATGTTCCCCGGTGTATGCGGTCAGGTGTGCTGGCGCACCTGGCGCTGAGACTCGGGTGCCACGTATGTGGCGCGAAGGCGGGTGGGGGTGAGCGAAACGGCTCGCGACAGTCCTTTTGTTGGGGTAGCTTGGTCACTGCTCCTTCTGACTTCGCCGACCCCCGCTTGCCGGGGGTGCCAAGCCGTGTGAAATGATTGGCTGTCCCCCCCCCCTTCCCTCTCCCCCAGGGTCTAAAATCCGATTGCAAGGGGGGGGCCGGGGAGAGCCCCGGGGGGGGGTGCCCATGGAGGGGCCCAGGTGGGTGGGGGGGGGAGGGGCGATCTCGCCAACGCTCCCCCGGGGCCTCTGGAGCCTCCATTTTTACTTTCCGTGGACTTCAAGATGCTGACAATTCAATAAAATGGCTGGGTACAAACACGCCAATGAGGCCCCAAGAACAACCAAGATAGCCTCAAGACTGATCAAAAGCCTCCAAGCCGTCCCCAGAGAGCTCCAAGAGGCCTCCCAAGAGGGTCCCCAAGATCGCTCCAGAACGGCCCAAGAAGTCCCTAAGAAGGCCCATGAGGCTCCTAAAACGGCACAGTAGGGCCCCAAACGAGCGTCAAGAAGTGGAAATCAAACTTCAATCCCACCAGCCCTCTGGGCGTAGTCGGTTTAGGGAGTTTCCTCTTCCAACTGGACGGGAGGTTTCGCGAGGTGTCGGACGGTACTTATTCGCCCAGGATGGCTCCAAGAGCACCTCGGAGAGCCCAAGATGAGCTCCAAGATGCCTCAAGATAGCCTAGGATGCCTCAAGATGGCTCCGAAGATGCTCCAAGAGGTCCCGAGACCGCCCCAAGACGGCTCCAAGTGGCCACGGAGCCTCCCAAGGAGGCCTCCCAAGAGGCCCAAATCCTTCAAAAACCTAAGGAAAACCAATGAATGTTACATTCTCACCGTTTTGCTTTTGGTGGCCTTCCGAGGCCTCAAGATGGCTCCAAGAGGGCCCAAGAGGGCCCCAAGAGAGGCCCAAGATGGCCCCAAGACGGCCCAAAGAGCGCCCAAGAGCGCTCCAGGAGCGCCTCAAGAGGGATCAAAGATGCTATTTTAGGCACTTTCGAGGGGCAGGGCGAATCCGGACCCTCCCTTTCTTTGACCGATCTCCTCCAAGATGGCCCTAAGAGGCGCCCAGGAGGCCCCAAGAGGCCCCAAGATGGCCCCCAAATACCCCCAAGAGGCCCCCGAGAGGCCCCAAGAGGCTCCCCCGAGGCACCCAAGACGGTCCAAGAAGCCCCCGGGACCGCCAAGAGGCCCCCCAGACGCCCCAAGAGACCTCAAAGAGTATCCCAAGAGACATCCCAAGAGACTCCGCGAGGCATTCAAGAGGCCTTTGACTCTTCTGATCGCCCTTATCCTCCTCCTCCTCCCCCTCATCATCACCATCATCACCATCATCACCATCACCATCACCATCACCATCGTCAAGACCACCACCATCATCGTCATCATCAGCATCATCAATATCAACATCAACATCATCATCCGCCTATTTCTCCTCCTCCTCATTCCTCCCTCCCCACCCTCATCATCCTCCTCCTCTTCCGCCTCCGACTCCTCCTCCATCCCCCCCCTTGGGGTACGACGGCCTCCCCAGCCCTTTGTTCCTCTGTATGCTGCCCCGCTTCCATGATCGCCTCTACTCGCCTGGGCGTCGTTTCTGGATGGGCTGGTGGGGATACTTTTTTGATCTGCGGCCCCAAGGAAGGCTCCAGAGGGCGGGTCAATCGGGCTGACTGGGGCACAGAGCCAGATAATTTGCGAACCCAGCCGTCACTGTCGACAGCTGGTGGGGATACGCGAAGCGTCAAGAATTTCAGGCCCTCCGCCTCAAGAGGATACCTGAGGCCGCCAGCAGACGCCCGACAGACCCCCACGAGGCCCCAAGAGGCCCCATAGAGGCCCCCAAGAGGCACAAAAGATGCCCCAATAGGCCCCTCAAACGGTTCGTCAGAGGCAAATTATCCCGGCAAAGCAACCTAACAGCGATGTGTAGGAGCATATCTGGAAGCATTCCCCTTAAGATTCACATGAGAATCCAGTTGTAGAATTGTGCTGTTCTCGCAGTCGTAGTCGCATTCGCGATGACAGTCGCAGTGGCAACGGCAGTCACAGACACAGCCTCAGCCTCAGCCTCAGCCTCAGCCTCAGCCTCAGCCTGCCTCAGCCTCAGCCTGCCTCAGCCTCAGCCTCAGCCTGCTTCAGCCTCAGCCTCAGTCTGCCTTCAGCCTCGGCGTCAGCCTCAGGCTGCCTCAGCCTCAGCCTGCATCAGCCTCAGCCTCAGCCTCAGCCTGCCTCAGCATCAGCCTGCCTCAGCCTCAGCCTCAGCCTGCCTCAGCATTCAAAATGTGGCCCGGGAATGTAGTTCTGGGAACTCGAAGAACACGAAGTGGCCTACAGTTGGCTCCGGGCATTCAAATTCATGCCCAGGAATGGAGTTCTGGGAACTCGAAGACCACGAAGTGGCCTACAGTTGGCTCCGGGAAAAATGGCTCCGGGCCCGGGAATGGAGTTCTGGGAACTCGAAGACCACGAAGTGGCCTACAGTTGGCTCCGGGCATCCAAAATGTGGCCCGGGAATGGAGTTCTGGGAACTCGAAGAGCACGAAGTGGCCTACAGTTGGCTCCGGGCATCCAAAATGTGGCCCGGGAATGGAGTTCTGGGAACTCGAAGACCACGAAGTGGCCTACAGTTGGCTCCGGGCATTCAAAATGTGGCCCGGGAATGGAGTTCTGGGAAGTCGAAGAGCACGAAGTGGCCTACAGTTGGCTCCGGGCATTCAGAATGTGGCCCGGGAATGGAGTTCTGGGAGGTCGAAGAGCACGAAGTGT